TAAATATGCAGTTTTATATTCTATAAAGCTAATTAAAATCGCATATCTCAGAAAATAAATATGGGGATTCAGTTCCACCATATGAACATATTGTGTTAAGCTCACCACTACTTCACTAATATAGGTTGGTCCTACACTAATTCCAACATGTGAGACAAATTTAACAGTGCTAGCGCTAAATAAGCTTAAGTGTACTTAAATAATCTGTTGTAAGAGCATTGGGAAGATATACAATGCAAAATTAATGTGATAAAAAAACACAATTAAAAAAAAATCCAGTGTCAAATCTAAACAAGTAAAGCGATTGGATGTATATACTCACAATTCATATCATACCTGCTCTATACCAAATGAAAATAATTATTGAAGTGACATTACTATCCAAAACCTTCTCAATTTATACTTTCCTGCCGTCACCTCCAAATGGGGATCTGAAGCTGAGGGGTTGGATGCAGGGTCAGATTAAGAGCCCAGTGGGCCTGGTGCCTTCTAAGCCTCATGTATGTGATGGAGATGGTGCTGGAGGGAAACTCATAGGATGCAACTATGAGAAAACACATACCCTATGCTAATCTCACGCTTTCATCTTTCAAGTAAACCCATACCCCCTAACAGCAGTGTCCAGTAAAGCAGGAAGTCTATCGATGGGGTAAAAGGATGGGCCACTGACACAAATCACATAACCAGACCTGCCGAATGGGGCGAACATACACAAAAAGGGGGCATGCCTGTGTTCCCATGAATCCCAATGTCCCCTTGTCACTAGGACACAAGGGGACATTGAGAGACATGGAGACATAAGGACACTGGGTGCAGTGGCGTACTAAGGGGGGGGCGGAGGGGGCGGTCTGCCCCGGGTGCCAGCCGGGTGGGGGGTGCCATGGCCAGCCCCGCCGCCCCCCCCCATGCTGCAGCCGCCCGAGCGCTCTGTATAGAGCCTCAGGCGGCTGCAGCATTGCCCGGGCGGTGCGTCCATGAGGGCGGACCGCACCGCCCGGGCGCAGCCTGAGGAGAGGCTGACAGGAGGGAGCGCTCAGCGATCCCTCCTGTCAGCTTCCTTTGCTGTAGCGTGGCCGAGCCCGGCAGCATTGATAGTCCGACGGGTACAGAGAGCAGCTGTCTCCTGTACCCGGCCGGACTAACAGGAAGTGCACACTCAGTGTGCACTTCCTGTTAGTC